TTAAAGTTTTTTAATATTGAAACTTATTCGTGTAGAAAATATTAATTTGAGTTTGGATAGATAGAACCTTTTTAAAATATCAGATACCACCAATTAACATCTTTTTGATTTTAACAATAATTGACTACACTTTTTAGATTCTGAGCATAGCGAGGAATATACAATATACGAGGTTTTACAATGATGTTTATTTTTTTTTTTTTTGGGTTTGTGTACACGTTTATTCCTAGGAAACTTGCTCAAGAGCATAGACCCTTTTCTGAAAGGTCTAGTTATCTAGTTCGTACTTTAAAAATATCATTTTTTGATTTTCAACGTCGTTTTCGAAATAATAGCACTTAAGTATAAAAAAAAAACATAGAAAAACCGTAAAATTTTACGATTTTATCATTATTAAATAAACACGTACGTTTTTTACCAGAAAAAGTGTTCTATTTGAAAAATTACTAGAGACCTTTTTTGTTGTATATTGAATCTTGTTTTTTATAGTGCAATACGTATTTTGATTGTCAAAGCAGTTTTTATAATAATTGTGAAAAACCGGGAAGAAACGTAGGAAAAAAGTACAATAACTTCACACAATATATTTCTTCAATTTTGCTTTAAAAATGCAATACTATTAATCGAGCTCCGCTCAGAATCGTTTTTTATCAGCAATGGTGTATCGTTGATTACAGTTATAAATTAAATAAACTAATGTATCTCACCTTCCCAATTGTTCACCTATAATAATGGCTGCATCCACCCGTGTATCGGGCCGCCTTTTTCTCTTACAATTATTCAAAATCACCATGTAAATGAAAATAAAAAGGGGTGTAACACTACTGGACACCAACTATAACATCCTAAAGTTTCATTAAATTCGAAATTTTCTATGTTAAAAAAATTATAATTGATATTAAATTATTTTTATAATAAATGTAAATCGTTGTCTTTTTCTCGGCAATTTTTCTATATATCGGTTTGACCAAAAGTATTTTGAAAACGGATATTGGATATAATTATTTATCTAACGGTCAGGTTGTTTGGTATAATGGTTTGATAAAATATTTTAATTCATTGAGATATTGTGGTAGGGTCATTTTTCTCCAAAAATAAAATACCGTTTTCTCGATAAAAAAAAAACCACAAAAAGTTACTTCTCTCATTTTTCAGCAAACATTTTTCTAACGGAATGATTTTTACATTTTGGCACAATAATGTTCAACTATATTATACGGGAACAACCGGTTGCGTTATAATTTCACAATATATCGGGCAATATTTTTTGATCCCAATACAATTATACGTTCATATTGGTGAACCGTGATACATATAATGTTATATTTTAAGCTATTTTAAAACGATTTAACTTTGACCTTGTTAATATAGTGTTTACGGTGACTATAAATATTCGATCTCGGTTCAGGTATGAAAAATTACAGACAAATATTCTCTTGGCCGGAATTTGTACATGCACAGGTGTATATTACATAGAATATTTGTTAGCGCACGTTTCTTTTTTTTGGAGGAAAATGCGTAGGTACCGGCCGGAGTGAAACGGCGGCGTTGCCTATGCCTCCTCGTGTTTAGAGAAAAATCGCTATACATACACGTGTGTAACATGTACGGAGAAGATAACAACGAAAATCGATAGTTTTCGCTTTATCTCGGCCGGTCGATAAATAAATATTAATAACTTTTGGTCGGTCGATTCGGGCCTACATATACGATTAAACGCGCTCGAAAACAGCCTTTAAATTATTATCATTATTATTGCCTCCCTTTGCCAGCGTGCCCCCGTGATTCGTTAACGATCTTTTCGCGTATACGTTACGGAGTTTCGCGTCGTTGTTATATTATTTTCCACCAGTGTTAGTGACAACCGCGCACATACAATAATACCGCTAATATTATTTAAGTCATCGGTAACCCGTAAATTTTCGTCTATATACAGCCCTCAAAAACATCCGTTTTCGTCGCACAGCCGCGGACCACGTCACAGTAAAACAATAATACGTAGCTATACGCGAGGGCGTGCCATGTATCGCTAGGTTTTTCTTTGACATTTTTTTTTTCCCTTTTCTCCATTTTCGTTCCCATAACCCTCCCCCGGAATAATAATGAAATTCCTTAACGGCCCCGAATCGATCATCGCGAAAGTCCGATACTCCTGCGATAGCTCATTCGGGTTTTGACGCTGCTTCGCCATAACCGCCGCCGCCACTGTATGTATTAGTACAGTTTATCGAGCGGGGTAAGTGGAAATGTTACGAGCCACTCGACATTATTCGCTAACGGGTATACTTTAGTGCCCACCTGATTATATAGGTATACTTAAATAAGGGCATAAAATTGTTTGCGCAAAAACGTTACGCCGGCGAACAAACATATTCTACAGCTATCGATATTACAAAGTATAATAAAAATAAAATAGTTTATTTTCGTTGAAGTTTTTTGTTTTTATAGATTCTTGGCGAATGTGTGCATTTTTAAAAACGAAAATTGTTCGTGTCTGTTTACAACATCTGCCAAAAAGTCCAAATATCTTGTTCCGATCGTCGACTTCAGCGTTGTGTTATAGTAAAAATCCGTGCCTATAGTCTGTACATCGAGTCATTTTTTTGGATTTTTCTTGTAATTTTCTAGATGATGGGCAAAAACCATGAAGAAAAAACATCGGAAAAACGGACGACTTATAGTAAACATTTAAATTGGTAAAATTCGTAACATACGATGTGACTGCCGTCGGTTTCGATTACGAGCATTACGATTAAATAGTTTATATTATTACACATTCCACGTTTTTCCAAACTTTGGTATTTCAAATTGCGCGTTTTTAAGTTTTGTTTATTCAAATTTTGATAAGTTCACGGATTAACGTGATTTTTTTCAAATACGTTTTTCGTTTGCAATGACTTATTGTTGCTTTCAGTAATTTCATAAGCTTTATATTTATTCAGTAAGCTATATACATTATCCAGCCTATACCTTTCAAAACTTCCCGCCTACAACAAAGGCGAAGTATGTCCGGCTTTTTTTCGTTTATAAAGAACAAGAGGCCAATTATTAAACATTGAAATACGGGTAGGTATTTTCATCGTTAATATATTTTTATGAAAATGACATTACGTGACGAATATTATAATACAATAAAAAAAAAAAAAAAAAAAACGCAAAGCTTGAATAGAATTTAAAACAAAATACATAGTGTAGATTTAATAATAATAAAAAAGATACAAATGGTTCCGCGGTGTTAAAACCAGAAATTATTTTTTTAAATAATAACACTATATTCTTTTTATTATAACGATAATAATATAATTACTACTGCGCAGATGTTTTCCTCGTAAAATAATATAAAAAACGGCGGCATAGATTGTGTACACTTATAATAATAATTATACTTACAAGACAAATTTATTTATAATATTTGGCTTTAAATGAAACGCAAATAATAATTACGATAAAATAATTTATATACTTTCAAAAATAGAATTTAAATTAACACAAAACAAGTAAAAAAATAAAATAAAAACAAAAATGAAATTTGTGTTTTATTCGTTTAGATTTTTTGAAATTTTAATCATCTGTATAATTGTTGTGTTTATAGGCCATTTTAGAGAAATTTTTCGCAACGACTCACTGAAACCACTAACACGCCCACTGATTATTATGTCTCAGAAACGGCAAATCGTATGAACTTAAAATTTTTAATAGTAGTTTTTCTAATGGTCTAGATATGTAATAAGAAGAAATTAAAAAATACATTTAGGTTATGCCGATTAATTTTGCGTTTAAACTTTAAACGGATTTCACCGCAGATTCGTATTGTTTGGCGTGACGGTCCGCGGGTCACCAACGGCCAACTACCTGCGACTTACTGGTTCGTTGATTACGCGCTGTCACAGCGTCGACATGTATTTATTTCCATTGATCAAGAATAAAAATATGAATTGTTTCAAGCGGTTTGTCAAAAGAAAAGAAAATCCATGCATACGTTCGCAACTCATATCCAAAACACGACGTATTAGAACAGGGTATTCCACTTCACAATATCTGTTTGAAAATTAAAATTCCGATAATCTCATACCTCCAAAACTTTGTAACGGTATTTGACTGTTGATTAATGCCTTATTATTTTATAGAAACGCTATTAAAGCAACCATGTTTACAGGCATTGGTACGGGAGAAACAATTTGTCTACTAAAAATACCCTCAATTACATATCTGATTATCACTTTTAGTTCAAACGGCTGCAGTTTCCTGTCAATGTCAGTTTCGTCATGACAATAAACAAAGCGCAATAGCAGTCTTTGAAAATGGTAGGAGTGGAGACTTAAGGAATGACTATTTCTTCCAAATTTTACGTTGCCTGTTTGCGTGTAAGCTCTTCTGACTGTCTAGTAATACTGCAGCTTACAAGGAGGCTTTCTAAAATTACCATAACACACTGACTTAAAATACTGGCATTTTAACCGGGTATCAACATCTAAATCTGCGCACCAGAAGTAGGCTAAACATCGCTAGGATTTAACAAATAATATAATGTAGTAATATGTTAAAAACTATGGCCCTGCTAAGCCTGTTCCATGCAAAGTCGATTAATTAGCTACCTAGTATAAAATATTATTCTAATTTATACTTTCGAATTAATTTAAATGTGGTCTCACGTCACATTAACACAAGTATTTTTATCGTGTAATCGTGTGATATTTGAATAAAACTCGCGTAAAAGTAGTAAAAAATAATAATAAAAATTACACGGACTGCGATTAAAATAGGAATACATGCCATTTACACTTTATATTGAGAAGAACATTATCTGCAGCAGCTGTGATGAAACGAATTAATTTTGTTCAAAACTCGACTCAATTGTAAAAGCATTTTAATATAAAACGCATAGAATCACGGAAGCTTAAGATTTAATAACTTCTCCATAATAATAATTTAACAAAAAAAAAAAAAAATAAATAATAATAATAAAAATGATAAAAACACTTAGTCAGAGAAAATATTATTTTCTACATTGTGCACATTTTTTAAATGTCTTAAATATATAGCTCCGTTAAAGTATCTCAATATGTGTGCGTGTCCTCTTATTAGAGTGTCAAAATTGTCTCTTATTTTCTAAAATTTAATTTATCCATCTTATTAACGATAAAACTTTTCCCCTAATCTACTGACCGATACCTTTTTAAGAAAACCGGCTTAGTTTTACGAAAATAAGAATAATTCATATTTTTTGGCAATTTCCTAATTAATTGATAATCAACAAAATACTACAATCCATATCGTACGGCGATTTTTCGTTCTAATTTTAATAATTAATGCCATAAAAAAGTCGGTAAATAAAAGCTTAAATTGACTTTTAAAACACATATTCTAAATTTTAAGATTATAAAATACCGAACAATTGTATTTTCAATGCGAGCTGTAAGAAGGCTTTTTTTTCCAATGACAAAATCATCAACAAGCCTATTCTACTGCATGAGAGTCAAAAAACGCAGTCTCCAAGGGGCCTAGTGCCAAACCGGGGCCTCTTGAATAGAAAAATATGCATTTGGAAATAATTGGAAATTTAAAAGTATGGTTGTTTTTTTTTTTTACATTAATCAGTAACCACTTATATATTACACAATATAAACCCTAATTTATTTTGAAATAACATTATTCTACTTGAACAGTGTGGTTAAAATAATTGATTTATTAAAATTATTAAAAACATGTACATTTGAAGGCATGAATGAGTGGTAAAATTTAGATTATTTAATCTGAAAATAATATAAGTGTATTTGTATGTATTTGTATTTCTTGTGATAATTTTTGATCTAAAGATCTTACCTAAAAAACTGTTATTTATGCATATAAAAAAATAAAAATAAAAAAAAAATTAACTTTTTTCATAAAAACGGTGCTTACGACCTTTAAAAATCTGAACAACATTTTTGAACTTTATTAAGCTCTAAGGAACACAATATCACGAGAAGATTAATATCTGATAAAAAATAAAATTCTGAAACACCCTATTGTTTAGGTATATCAAGAAGTATAGGTAATTACCTAATTGTAAGCCACAAATTTCACAATAATAGGCTAATAGCCAACCTCTTTTGCGCAGGTGGTGCTTTGAAAGTTAAAATATTTCCCCGTTTGTTGTCGAAAATATGTTCAGAGAATATATTATTATTTTTATTTCAAGGGAAATAATTCAATTGTAATACTCTTTCTTAAAACACTAAATTTTATATAGTGAAAATGTACACAAATAGAATTTCGTAGAATTTACTCTAACCGAAAAATTTAATACCATTACGTACCATGTATAATCTACTCACCAATTTTATATTTCTAATTTTGTTACTAATTGTGTATTATTATTTGATTATGAGGTCCTAACAACTGGCCCCTTACAAATATTCTGTAAACTTTAACTTCAATGAAAACTACAAATGACTTCAGTGTTCAATGATAAACTGGCATTCCCATTCAGGTTTTTATCATCTAAGAGTGTATTTTACTCTGATAATGATTATTCTACAAATTTGATATGCTTGGTGTAGCACACGAGAATATGATTATTATTAACTGAGACATTATTATATTATTATGTAGGCAAGTATACATTTTAGACATTACGATTATTTAGAATTGTTTTACCATTCTTGACAGCATTGCGGAGTGCTGAGGACTCCCGAGGGATCGTTCAAAATATTTGGTTATCTTCATTATACTATATAACATTATCATTATCTTATCCGACGTTCGATAAATTACGGATCTTTAACGATTTCATGGATATCAATTATAATAATGTGTATATAACTGACACTGTAATAACTCGAGTTGTTTGATATATTTCTTTGTTTCGTAGGTAAGCAGATAAAACCATTAAACAGATAAAATCTACAGAGATTAGTTTACTTATATAGGTACCTAGAAAACTGTTCTTCTTCTGATGGAGAAAAATGATTACAATTTCTCTCCGAACGTTTATAAATCGTCTATCAAATTCTTCACGAAGACAAATTATATGTGATTTAGAAAGAGAGAGAGAGAGAGTGATAGAAAAAAACTTAATTTTTATTTCATTCTTTAGAAGCATTTTGTGTAGATGTGACTGCAGCCTGCAGCATAAGCATTATTTTGAGTACTCTATACGAGCATACATACTTCAAAAAGTTGTTCTGTCAAGATATATAATATGATAACTCGAGATGAACAATTTATGATATTTTTGAGTGGAATAGGTAAGTTTTTGGATTACTACGAGAGTCGTTTGAAAAACCACTCTCATGCTTTCCCCTCCAGAAAAAATTAACCTTGCAATGTTAAATTCGTCGGTCATATATTATTATGATTTTTGGACGTATTAATAAATTGTGTGTTCTTAAGTATTTTAATTAAATTATTAACTATAAAAATAATTTAAATTGGCTGGGCTAAGATACTATATTTTGAATCAAAATCATTATTGCCATGCAATACCACAGATGAGATCAATCAGCAAAGCGAAACGAGTGTATCCTGTTGAATATTCTTATTTTAGATTCTGCAGAGCTGTTGTAGGAAACTTTATAGTATTTTTGCAGGGTGGTTGCAATTTGTTCAGAATTTTTCATCGTCCGTTTACAGTAAAGGTAACGGTTTAGATTTAGGTAATATTTGAACAAGGCTATCGATATGATCCTAACTCATCGATCTTTTTGAGTCGATTTTCTCATTTCCCAGTTTGATGACCCACCAAAAATCGCCACTAAAACTTTATTTTTCTTCAATACTTACAACAGGTAGGTTTACTCTAACTATTAAATCTAATCCAATTCAATGTTCCTTTTCATCTTCTCAATTTCCCATAATATTCACACAATATCTCAAACCTATACAACAAATTTAGTCAAAAGTTCATACCTCTTAAGAGCTATGCCCTTATTTAATAATCACCCCAACTTCGATTTTTCTACAACCCCTTAACTAATCTACTTTTTTTACCAATTTACATCGTCAATTATTATTTGTCAAAAGTGGATTTCTGGCTGTATTTATTTATTTACAAATATACTATTATTATTATTTTTTTATTTGTTGAACTAACTTTTTTGTTTAGGTGTATATTATAATATCTCTTGAACTCTATGTTGGGCGCCTGTCTTGTTTCGTTTGTTTTATCATAATATAATATAGTGTACGCTGGATAATTATTTCGAGTAAAGTTCAGAATAAATAAACTTGAACGTTTATTGCTCGCGGAGGAAAGGTACGGAAGAGTTTCTTTTCATATAGCGGCCGTTAAGATTTTCGCATTTCCAGTGCGCTGAATACACCCAGAACGATTTAAAATAATAATGTGGCTCCTTAAAAATAACTTAACCTGTATACTGTTTGTATATTATAATATTCAATTAGATTCCTTTCAAATAAATTGCGGTATAACACTAACTTTTTCAAAAGAAAAAATGAAAATATAATATATATATATATATACATAAATAAATGTATATATATATATATACATAAATAAATGTATATATATATATATATATATAAATATATTATACTGAACTATATTTTCAAAATTCGTTTTTTATTCGGACTGGATTTTTTTTCCATTTCTACGTACTCCGACACTTGAATAATAATATAATATACAAAATTGTTTTATGGAAATGGTTATTTTCTTTAGGAAAAAAAAGTGCAATCTAGTTCCAAATACTCTTTAAAACATAAACGACATTTAGGTATTTGTATATACGAGATAAAAACAAAACAAAAATACGAACATATACTTTTCAAACGATATTACTTGTTACTCTACACCAAGTTTATTGAATCGTTAAAAAAAAGATATTATAATCTCGCTCTCTCTTTTTTTCTTCGTATCTAATGTGTAGGGCACGGATGTTGTTGCATTTGCAACTTTTTTTCTACCATTTCAATTTATTGCTAAGTAGGTTTTAAATACGTTTCGTGTAAACACGAATTCAAATCTAGAAGTTTTATGCGCAACTTTTTCAGTTTTTCAATTTTATTGCAATTTTGTTGAATTTACTCATTTATACAAATATTTTAGCTATAGTCGACACTCAACAGTCGTTCAGATAAAATTATATCATAATATCGCCAACCATAAATCGAATAATGGTATTTTATCTTTATCTTGATAATTATAATACAAAAATAATTAGTGAAATGTGACTGTTTGACTGTTATAATCTGTTTTCAATCATGTTGTGAATTTTAAGAGGTCGTGTTCTGTTAAGGTTTTGTAAATATGCCGAAAATTTAGCTAAATATTTTCACTTTTGTACACATTTTTTTAACTCTTTAGTGCAATACTTACTATTTTACCACTACAACACACGTGCTCTAAAAAAAAGATACAATATCTAATGAATAAACATAGTATTATTACTTATTAATATGTGTATTTTAGTTCTAAAAATTCAGTTTCTTAATTAGTAAAAATTATTCGATCTTTTTAAGCGTCATTTCTAAAAAATACTAATTTTTCGCTCATTTGAACTTAGTATGGAACATTTTTAAAAACCCCAATACTATTTTGGAAAAATTGCTTTTATGTTTATTTTTTAAAAATCCTTTATTTGGTAGGTAAAACGCTTTGATATTTGTACACAGTATTGGTGGATACTTAAAAAAGATATATATTTCTCATCAGGTATTATAATAACGATATTTTGAGAATAAATATAATTTTGGAGATCAAACGATTCTTTAAATCCGAAAAATACAACGTTAAATTTATTCAAAATCATCAAAAATAATCGCCGTTTTATGATAAAAAAATCACGATGTTCCTTAAACTATTTGCGAGTATGCCATTCATGCACATATTTCTTAAATATTAAGAATTTAAGACTAAAAACTAGTTAGATGAACGGCAACACATTTTAACAGAACACATACAAATGTTTTTTAGAGATTCGAAATGTATACATGATATAGAAAAGTACTTCGTGTGTGACGGAGTGTTTTTATTTATTTTGTAACAAAACTATTACGAAAGATGTTATCAAATGTCATAGGTTTATAAAATGTAATTGGGCCGAATTTCAAAAATATAAAATGTTTTGTCACCATAGGCGCAACTAGGGGATTGAGAGGGGGTCTTTAGCACCCCCCCAAGTTTAAAATCAGCACCCCGAAAAATAACCAATACATTTTTTTTTTAAAGTATTGATTACATATTTTATATCTATATATTTCATATTTAATAAGCAGGACAATTACAGATTACCTATACAGACAACGCATATGTCTACACAAAATTAAGTTAAACAAGTTACGGATATATGTATATAAAAAAATATGTAAATGAAATTTCGAGTTGCTTATTATAAGTGCCATGAAGTAAAAGGTATTGTGGGGGCATTGAGATGTGTCTATATTTTAGTATCCCTAAAGTTGATGTTTTAGTTGTGCCCATGTATATTATAATTGTCATGGCACTCATAGCTGTTAATATTCTCGTCGGTATGAATTGAAAATTGTATGTATTTTATGTTAAACAATAAATACTTTTTACAATAGGACGAGATCTGCAATACTTTCAAATCCATAGGAAAATAAATTTGAATATTTTTTTTTTGGGTTGAAAATTTTAATTTTTTTCAAAAATTTCGTTAAAAAATACGTAACGTAACTTTAAATTATGTGCGCAATGTCCTTTTCGGTACTACAATATGAGTGTGGAAATTAATTTATTTGTTTCGATTTTCTGCGGTCGTGTTTAACGATTATCGTACCCTCAGAGATGTTATAGTTTATACGTACATTGAAAAGGGTCTATTTAACATAAATCACATAAATCGAATCGTCACGTATCGTTCATAGATGTGGATAATCACAACATATGTATCCCCGGGGATTTATTACGTATTATTATGTTATTCCTGTCTGTGATGTTTTACGCATCATTAGATTTTGAAAATAATATTGAGTATCGGTAACGCCAATTATTGTATTTGTAATTTATTGTCAATTCGGCGATGGTGAGCATCCGTCGAATTGGGCAATTGCCACCCGCGATCTGCGATTGGTTTTAAACACTGCGCTGCATGCAGTTTATGATACGAATAACGTTTATTTTTACTGTGTTTGTATAATATTGTAATCGAGGTTTATCCGAATAACTTCACTGGAATAGGATGAGTTCTCCGCGGATCAGTGAATTGTTTTTTTTTTTTTTATTTTTATGTGGCAGGTACTAGATATTGATTAGAATAGATATAAATTTGATATTTTCGCGCATAAAATATTAATCACCGCACTACTGGATTTCAGAGACGTGTGTATTTACATTTTTGGCGTTCTGGGGCTTCCTTTAGCGCTCTGTCATAAGAAAATATATATTTTTTTAAATGCACTGGAATTTCAAGCTACACAGTTTAAATTTTATGCTGCACACTTTGCGCTCTAAAACACATCATTTTACTCCCTGCTGAGCTGGTGTAACCTGTGGGGTGCGGTTAATTAAAATGCTATTTTACTATGTCTTAAAATATTATGACGTCCCCTCGAAATGTGGTGCCTGAGGCCAATGCTTACCTGCTCCTATTCTAAATAAGCTCCCTACACTGATTTATTATAATACGAGTTTTTACAACTCGTTTGAGTACATTATATATTTCACGACTAGTTAGCGTACAACACTGTGACTCGATTATTAAGCATCGTAGTTATAATGAAAATTTGAAACGTGTATTCCTTATATAGTTTTAAAATGCTTAATTCTATACATTTAAAATAATTTATGTTTAAATGCCGTTATTACGCGTTTTAAGCCACTAAAATTTCAACTTCCATGAAATCCTGTTCAAATTTAAATCGATATTATGCGATAATAACCAGCAATACGTTTTTATTCTATCTTCTATATATTTTAACAACAATCCGAATTAGACAAATTGTGAATTTTTAATACATTCAGGAATGTTATTAAATTCTCAATATGTTTTTTTCTGTGCTTAAACGAATTATTACGAGCAAACCAATTTAAACGAGCACAAATGAATCTCGCCTATTAGTTTGAAGCTTCGGTACAACAAAACGTTTTATTATAAAATCTATTCGATTCGTGATATTTTAGAGAACAAACATTTTAAATCCCCATATAATTTTACTGAATTCGGAAAATACAAAACTTAATTTCTGAAATTAAAATATTATTTCGTTTTGTATTTCTCGAAAAGTTATTATTGTTTTTTATTTTTTTTTTTAAACCTGTGGTGTTATTAACATCAGTATTTATCTTGACTATTAAGCACGTAAATATTATAAACGACTAAACGAATTATCATTGAGTTTTAAGATCACTCTCATCACTTAGATGAAAGTATTTATTTTTTTTTAACGTATTAATATTCTTAAAAATATTTCGTATGCAAGTCGCGAGTGTAAAATGTGCGTAGAGTTTTTTTTCGGGGAATTTGTTCGTTTTACACGATTTTTCTTAAATATCGTACTGAACAGGAAACTTTTTAAATAAACATTTTAAAAATACCATCTGCGTTCGATTCCCAATAATTTATAAAGTCACTGTATGGACATGTTCTTATCGTGTTGACTGACACACACACACACACACACACACATAAAATGTTAAATAAATAATACAACAAATAAGTACATTTACTTTGTTAAGTAAATGGCTCTCTCACTCTCTAGGTTCCAAATCTAAAATACACGAATTGACGTATACTTTTTTCAGTGTAACACAAATAATATTATCACAAGAAACCATTTTTTTTTCATTTTAAAAAATTTAATCGACTTGTAAAAAATAAGTATTCATTTAACAAAAACAATACGCATATATTTTTTTATAAACTATTGAACAGAAATAT